GGGGGGGGGGGGGGGGGGGGGATCAGAGAGCAAATCTGCCTGCAGAAGTAAAAAATCCTTTCTATTTAAGCAAGAAAATATAATATGCTACAGAAACTCAGGTTCCCACAGTTATTTACATATTCAAAACAAGAAGAGAATGAGCGTCTATTTGGTGCAATTCACTTGGTTGCCCTCTCCGCCAACTGCTGCAAACTCATACCTGACAAATCCTTTGAAAGATTCCACAGTCTCAGCATGAAGCTCCTGTATGCTTCACTTTCATGGCTCTGTCTGCAGCCTTCCACATGAGAAAACATGAGAGCTCCCAGAAGGGCATAGACCACTAAAGAACAAATGAAGCAAGCATGGGGAAAGATAGCCCAGAATACTTGACAGCAAGTCCTTTCCTTTGGCTGGGAAAGAGATGTTTTTGGCTTCATCTCCCCAAAACTTTGCATCAACAAGACCAGAAAGGTTTCATGAACAGAGAGAAAACAAGTCTGGAACTCCAGTAGAGCCTCTTCTTGACCAATGGAAACCTGTACCCTACTTCTGTTTCATAGCTAAAGAGCTCCTGGTTTTATAGCTGGAGTTATTCTTACAAAACCCAAAGAGCTGGATGGAGATTGCAACCAATTGCAATTTAAAACATCTGTCAGATGCTGATACATTGTGCAGAAGAAATATTGATTGCCTCAAGTGCTGTAATGCATGCATATGACGAGCGACTATACGCATCACGGGTTATCACCACCTGATAGCTGAAGGAAGAGGCTGTTTGTCTATAGGGCAATGTAGCTTGCAAAGCCCTGCCCTTTGGCAACAACCAAAGCAAAATTTCCAGTAAGAGAAGGCAAATAGCAAAGAATAGATAATGAGTCCATATAAGCAGGTAATGGATCTCAGTACGATTGGGGATATTCCCCAAGGAGTGAAGATGCAATTTCTAATTTTTCCAAGAAAGCTACTAGATCTCTACCACCGTATAGACTTCTTATGTGGAGGCTGTATAAAATAATACTTACCGCTCTATCTCCCTGTCCTCCCCTGCTCCCAGCCCACTTTTGAGGTATTTGCTCTGTGCACAAAGTCTGTATCCTGAACATACATGAGTTAGACTTCGTTCATTATATAGAATTACCCCAGAGTATACTGCTTGGTGAAAGAGAGAAAACATATCCTGTCTCCAAATCAACTTTTCTCCAACTTTATATCAGTTTGGGGCAGATATAAGAGCTGAGCTTTATTTTTGTAATTTATTTACTAAGACAGGTGTATCCCAACCTATCCCAAAAGCACCATTCAGTTCAGCTGACAATACTTCCCAATTATGAGCAAAAGTTATAAAAGCAACAGTATTAAACAAGCATCCAAAGAAACTAGGTTGATAGTTACAACCAAAACACAAAAGTATTACCTACCATGTTATCATAGAAGCATGCCAGAATAAAATTAGTTTCAACAAGTGGCAAGAAACAATTACAATCAACTATACTTCATAGGACAAAGTATTCCATCACCTGAGTGCAACTATTGAGAATACTGTTTGTCCCATCATATTCAAATTAAGAATATTAAGAATGACAGCTGTGCATACCTTCATTCAATGTTCCAAGATCAGAAAGTTAGTCATGGCATGAGCTATGTGTTTTTGAGATGGTGTGGTAATCCTTACTGGTAGTGGTGTGGCCAGGCCCAAACTTTTAGTCATATGGAATCCTGGGTGTTTTCTGAGCTTGGCTGTTTGCTTGCAGACATTTCATTACCCAACTAGGTAACATCACCAGTGCAAGTGAGTGTGGGGTTTGCTCCCTGTTTATATACAGTTTTTGTCATATCTCTGATCTGGGCTTGGAACAATAGGGAGTTGGCAGGGATCACGTTGTTAGTTGTCTTATTGTCAGCTGTCGTGAGGCTATGAGCTTTTTCAAAAGTTTCTTTTGTCTTCTAGCATAAAGATGTGCTACTTTGAGAACATTCTTTTAGTGAGGAGAACAAAATTCTGTGGACAAATCTAATTCAATTAATTCTACAGATAAGTGCAGATTAGAATGTGTGTAGTTTCTTGGATCGCCAAAGTTAGGGAGCTCTTTCTCTGAATACTGAAAAGCTTTTAGATAATCAATACCAACTCTCCTTGCATTATTTTATCAATGAGCTGCTTGGATGCTCATTAGATTTGGCAACTGTACTTCAAGCATTAAGTGCTCATGTTTCTATATCCATTGTTTATACATATGCAATAGGGTTCACTCCCACCCCCACCATCATCACCATGAGAATTTGTGGAACAAAGGGGGCAACCATTCCTACATGGCACAGAATGGTCTTTAGAAAGGAAAAGAGGGCAAACCTAATGGTTTGGGAGATTAAGAGTGGCAGTTGTGGTAAGGAGCATATCCACACCATTACAACTAACACTCCTGTTGTAATCATTCCTGAACCTTGGCTATATCTTAAATTTTGCATTCATTAATCTGAAGATCTTTTGATAAAGCTCTGTAACTCTTACAAGTCGTTTTTATGTAGTCAGAAGTTAGATCCAAAGACAATGAACACACCAGCAGGTGAGGAGATTTTAAGCTTTATTGTTAACCCTAGCAAACAGATTTGAACAGGAATACAAGAGCATCGTATAAAAGCATAACATACCAAGCAAGATGATACAACTCTTCCCCTACTATTGGGAGCTATCATAAGGCAACAGCGGAGAGACCCCGAGATGGCTTAGATAACACAGCGCCTAGTCCCAAGGCCTGTGTCCACTCTCCAAACTCCAGGGGCAACGTCAGGGCTTTTTATCAACGTCTGGCACTGCAATCCCATGACTCTGTTTTGGAGTCAGGGGCTGTGAGAGTGACCAGAAGTTATACCTGCTCATCAAAGGATTCCAGAGTCTGGGAACTGTAGATAAGCTAGTGCTTAACCTAAACAATCCTGAGGGTTTTCCTCCCACCTCCTTCTAAGTAAAAGTGAAAAACAAGCCAACGAAACATTATTATGATTCAAAGTGGGCTTTCTTAACATGTGCAGGAGAAATCATGTCAGAAACTATGTCACCTAAACTCAAAATAACAATGGTCTTCCGCATTGCCACTACAGAGGATTGGGTGTGTATGTGAACCATACACAGCCATCCATCTATGGGTCTGTATGTGCACTATCATGATGGTTCCTGAACTCCAAATTTTACCACAAACACATGGAATAAATAAATAAATCCCACTGAATAAATTAGTGCAGTTTGTTTGGAATTAGTCACGTTTTCCATATTTCAGGTCTTTATCTATGACCACAAGCTCACATTTCAATAGTATTATATACTAATAATGATGGTGACCGATAAATGTGCATCAGGAGTAGGAGTCAGATGAGTCAGGCTTGACATCTTTCAGAAACTCAGTCCTGCATTCAGGAACTAGCTAACAACAGAATTTTTAAAAATGTAATCCTCCTAGATCATTTGTTTTATTGAAGACAAGAACGAAGAAAGATTCACAGAGGATCAGATAGCTGCAGAATACAGAAATCCCATCCTATATGTGAATGATAGTTTTAGAGGTTAAATATTTTTCCCTCCCACCTTTTAGAGTTAATGGAGTTTTGGCTGCTGTTTTCCCAGTCTTGAAATTGAAAGGCACCTGCCCAGTGCTTACAGAATGCTTCTCTCTATTCTGACTCCCTCCTCGCCCTTCTTCCTTCCAGAGGTTTTAGGCTTCAGTTCCCACCAACTGCACCATTTCAGAGCTCCCAGATCTTGAATTAGCAATATCAATATTATTCCATGGAGTCAAGTTTTAATGTTGCATTTTAAAACTAAGCCATTTGTCAAAAGTATAACAATGTGTTTTTGCAGGGTTTTTTTCCCTTAGAAGGTAGGGGTTGGGGGGGGGGGTTGGGTGTAGTTTTTTCTTTTTTCCCCCTGTCTTTTTCTCTTTTTGTACTTTTTTCCGTCTCTGCAAATTAAAGCAATAACATTAAAAAAATTGAATTGTGCTTGGAAGTGACTACATACCAGTTGCATTACTCCAACGTTCAGGTCACATAATCTATAACAGCATAGTTATCTGTAGCATTTTGTACATTTTTACTTTCTGGCCACTTTTCACAGGTAATGCCACATAAACATACTACAGTAATCCAGGTAGCCACAGAAATTTGAGTGATTTATGGGAAGAATCACTATTCACATTATTTATTCTGATTCCTGTTGGCAATCTTAGTTGCTACTTTTTCTGACATTTTTCAGAGACAGCTTCTTACTATAGCCAAAATGTGTTCAGATTTATGGTTTTGGGCTCAAGAACTTAACCAGAGCAAAACCAGTGTTGGCTATGCTCTTAATCCTAGATTAATTGTCAGAACAAGGCCAGTTCCCAACTACATGACTGAATTTTACAAGAACACTTATTCCCAGTTTAAACTTTTACCAACCAAAAGTGCACTTGGAGTCATACTTTGCACTTAGCTATGGTTTGTTCAACATGCCACTATAACCTAGTTCATACAACGTTAAATCCTAAATTATGTGAGTCCACACACAATACTAAACTAAGACCAAACAAACCATATTAAAGCTCAGTGTGATATGAAATCCCAGTTCTCCTATGAGCCTACTTCTTTTGCCTGAATTATTCGGTGCCCAGTTTTGATTTCTCTGCATTGATTGCAAACAATGGTTCAGGATACTGAAATGTTCTCTGGTCCTAGATGGAAAGGAAAGATGGAAGAGAGTACTATACCACAATCCTTTTCATGTGAGTTTTCCCAAAACATTGCACACAGATATTAAACAATGAAGTGAAAGGAAGCAAAAGGCCATTGGGAAGAAGGACCAGTACGTAAAACCTATCATCAAGAATGCAAGAAGCACTCTTAAAATACGTCTCCAAGACCTATTCCTTCTAAGTATTCTGGAAGGGTAGCTGCTGATGCTCCAAGCCACCGCCAGCCAAATGAGTGGAGAGATGGCCTGCCCATCCAATTCCAGCTACACGTAATCCAGCTAAGAACCAATGTTCTCTCAATGGCAAGGACAAGTCAGAAGCCAGACAGTTGAGGACCTGCACTGTTAATCTCTTTCAGAGATGTAAGGCTACTCAGGACCATTTCATTAGGCAAAATAAGGCAGTAACCTGAGGCACATAGCCTAATGAAAAGGCAGAAAGTGGTTAGTTATGTAATTATATTGTCAGTTTTTGAGTCAATTGTTGCTGCCTGAGAAGGTAAGAAGTGCTTGGGGCATGTTCGGCTTCAGACACCAAAACAATCTGATGGCTCTTTGGTCCTGCACTTTGGCTGAGGGTAGGGAAGGAGACATTCACTGCACCAACCTGAATTCAATCAGCCTTGAGGCCACCGTATACTTCAACCTGTTTTCTAGGAACAATAGTTTTGATGTTGGCTAATGGCTACGAACATGGTGATCTAAATAAATAAA